TGTTCTTAACCTCTGAGTCATCTCTCCAGGTCCTATTTGTTTGTTTGTTTGTTTGTTTATTTATTTATTTATTTATTTATTTTACAACTACTACATTATTCTAGTAGGCAGTTTGGGCTAAAAACCATTTATCCAAGTGGAAATCTTACTCTTGGCATTCAGTGGAATCTGAAGACAGAATATCTTAAATGTCTTTTCACTAAAGGAAAAGAAGACTGACATGTACTCGGTAAGGTCACTGGGAACCACATGTATGCAAAAAACAAGGAAACTGTGTGCAAGTTTTGTTCTTAATCCTGTCTCAAAATTAATAATAATAAAAAAGACAAAAAAAAACCCTAACAAACAGGCATGGTGTGATGATACACACCCTAGAGGCATATGGAGCTCTGTGAGTTTGAGGCTAGCCTGGGCTATGGGCCAGCCTGGGATACATAGTAACACCCTGTCTCAAGAAATAAAACCCTAACAAATGAAACAGCAGAACAAGAATTTACGATCTTTCTCCAGCTCCTCTTTTGAGGCTTGTTTATTATGTTACAGCAAAGACTGGACGGTTTTCGAGCACACCCCCGTTTTCTAACCATCTCTACTTGCCGCAGTGAGATTCTGTTAGTCTGAGTTTTCTTTTCCCCATTCTCCGAATTGTGATCTGTGGGTTTAGTCTTTGAGTTAACTGAGGAGTATTTTTATTCTGTGAACTAAGCACATTCCTTTGTAACCACAGGCATCCACTTCTCGTTGGATTTATGACAATCACAACATTGGCATGCAGGTAAAAAAAAGACCTCAATTTGCTTTTCCCATCACACCTCTGGTTAGCTCACGAAACCTCAGTTCGGTGGAAAGGAACTAAGGACCATTTCTGCCACGCTCTCCGTGGCCACACCTTCCCACAAGGACCTGGGTTCCTCTGAAGGCGGCTAGGCTCTGGCACCCAAGCGAGCGCACTACGGCTCCGCTCCGGCTCCGCTCAGCTCTCCGGACGGCTGCGCAGTTGCTGGGAAAGTTCTGCCCACAGACAAGACAGAGGCACGGCTTTGTCCACAGCACCACTTGGGAAAGTCTGTTCCGCAGCCTAAGGAACTTAGGAGAAACAGCCCTGCAGAGTGGAATGAGCTGAGCATACTAAACCGGAAAAGTAAGACTTTACCCTTCATTCCACACACAAGGACCCCCCCCCCAAGAATGTAATAAATATTTAACAAAATTCAACCCTCTGTGCCTAAGAAGGAGCTAGAAAGGTTTCAAATCGCTCTATGTTTTTTTTCCCGTGTGTGCATACCATAAATAAGTGGATTATACCTTTAAGAAAATAAAGAATGGGGAAAAAGAGATATAAACTTCATGTGGCTGGTTCCATTGCTTCTCTTTTTACCTGTTTGCCGGGCAAACTATTCTATGAAACACGAAAATGAAAGACAGTATAATCTGCTATAGTCTACTTTAGTCTCCAATGGCTTTGGTCCCAGAACCCTGACTACCGACTTTGAGGGAATTAAGGCACTAAAGAAATGACAGATACATTGACACAGAAACCTGGGATTGGGTGGCCTGGGCTCTCAAATGGAGACACTACAATACCCGGAAGAGCGGTGTGCTTATTGAGTTCCAGCTGAACAGGGAGGTGGGCTTGTCCCATCAGCTGAACAAGGAAGGGGCTCATGAAAGGTAAACAAGAAGGCGGGGTTATCACACACAGTCTAACTAAGAGGCAGTTTAGCTAATCTCAGTGGGAGCAGACTCTACCATAAGCAGTCTCTAGGCCATAAATAGCTGAGGGGAGCAAGCTATGGTGGACATTTCCTGCGTACACAATCATCATCCACACACAGACCATAGGAGGGCTTTGCCATCCCCTTGAGCCTGACCCGGGGAGGCTTTGCCATTTCCATGGGGCTGAGGCAATGTTCTTGGCATTGCCACTCCGATGCCGACAACACACATCCACTCGGGCTTCACTCACCCTCTGCACTGATCCTTCGCTACTAAAATCCAGCAAATTAAATTCAAGTTCAAGCAAAGAGCATAAGCGGTCAGTTCGACAGCCATGTAATTATCAATGTTTATAAGGATTAAAAAACATGATTTACATTAAAATTGGACAAATAATCCATCTTGTCAAGAGTTGCTTGGGTTTAGAATGGCAACAATCTAAGTGAAAACCCAGTTTATTTTAGTTTTTCGGGGCAGGGTTTCTCTGTGTATCCCTGGCTGTCCTGGAACTCTGTAGACCAAGCTGGCTTTGAACTCAGAGATCGGTCTGCCTCTGCTTCCCAAGTGCTGGAATTGAATGTGGTTGCCACTACACCTGTCTAAAAACCAATTTTAGAGTGTATTAATTAATGTAAGAATTTGTATTTCTGTTGTTCCTTTGTACTTGAAGTCTATTTAAGAAAATAAAACTGGTTTTCCCATAGGCCCTGTAAGGCTTGCAGACTGGATGGATTGCTGTCAAGAAGATTCAAATGGAGTTATCTGGCAAAATGTCAGACCTGGTGAATATACAATCAGTACTCAGGAGACTGAGGCAGGAAGAATGTGAAAGCCGCTTAGGTAACACAGTGAGATCCTGTCTCAGAATATCAAACATTTCAGTCAACAAATATAAATATCATTAAATAAAGTGTATCATTGTTTGTCTTCATGATATCTTGTAAAGATGAAGAATAACAGGTTTATTCAGCTTGCCTAATGTACACATTTTACATATACAAGGTCTCTGACCCGGCTTTTCCAATACCATTCTGCAAGTCATCCAAACTCACAATAGAAATTAAGAAAAAATACTCATAATATTACTACCAGAGTTAGCACATTGCTCAGGTTCTTAGAGTATATTGAAGTATAATGCAAAATATAAAATAATGAGACCTTTAGTCTCTACTATTAGATAATGGTAAAGATTTATTGAATATTTTTAAAAGTCTGGTACTGGGATCTAAAGAGATTGCTCAGTGGTTAAGAGCACTGGCTGTTCTTCCAGAGGACCCAGGTTCAGTTTCCAGTACCCTCATGACAGCTAGTAAGTGTCTGAACTCTAGTTCCAGGGAATCTGGCATCCTCACATAGACATATATGCAGGCAAAACACAGCAATGCACATAAAACGAAGATAAATAAATGATTTTTAAAAAAAGTCTCAAAAAACATAATGGGTTTATATTTATATGTATATGTGCATAGATATTTAATAGGTTAATGATTTTAATCAATTTTCAGGTGATTTTTTTGTCTTAATTTTAACTTACTTTTTTCCCCCCTAGGACAGGGTTTCTCAGTGGAGCCATGGCTGTCCTGTGACTTACTCTGTAGATCAGGCTAGCCTTAAACTCAGAGATCTGCCAGCCTCTGTCTCCCAAGAGTTGGAATTAAAGGCATACACTACCACCACCTGGCTAAAATAAATCTTAAAAAAAAAAAAACTGACACCATGCTAAATATTATATATACATAGTTCCATTTAGTACACACACAGAAACATGGTTGTTGATTCTAAACTTTTGCTACTTTTTGTGTGTGGGTGTACATGTATGAACTTGTGTGTATATGTATGCATGTATACATGCTGATGTCAAGTGTCTTTCCTTAGTTGCTCTTCACCTTTATTTTTTGAGGCAGGTCTCTCATTGAAAGTGAAGCTCACCGGTTTAGCTGGGCTGGTTGGACAACAACCTTTAGGGAGCAACCGGTCTTTGTCTCCCCCAACCAAAGGCTAGGGTGACAACCATATGATGCAATGCCCAACTTTTCATATGGGTGCTGGGGATTCAATCCTAGGTAGTCCTGCTTACACGGGAGGCACTTTACCAACTGAGCAACCTCCCCAGCCCCCATAACGTAATACTGTGATCCGATGCACTCTACTGCGCTCCATAGACAATGCTCACACACCGTGCACAGATATACATGCAAGTGAAACATCCAGACACATAAAATAAAATGTTCAGACAGTATTAAAGTAAAACATGAAAGGGGCTGGGGAGATAGCTCAGTCACAAACTTCTAGAGCCTGTTATGTAGACCAAGCTGGCCTGGAACTCACTGAAATCTACCTCCCAGGCAATAGAATTACAGGCATGTAGGACTCTGCCCTGTTGTTGTCATCTTGTGATTGAGCCAAGAGTAATGGCTCAAGAGGTGGAAGAAGGGTTGCTTGGAGGGACACGTGCTAATGGCTCAATATTGGTGGGGCCATTCTAGTTTATCTCCCATCCAACAGGGACAAGCAAGCCTCATAGAGCTATTGCATAGCTTGGCAGGCAGGCTAACTTTAACCCAGTGACACGCACTGCTAACTCATGATTTTGAGTTTGGAGGTTTGTTAATATGACAATTTCTTTAACTGAGTTCTCAGTGTAATTAAAAATTATGTTTATACATTTGAGATAACTCAGTGGGTAAAAACGATTTGTCAACAAGCCTGATGACCCGAGTTCTATTCCCAGGACCCACAGGATGGGAGGAGAGAACTACACACACACACACACACTAAATAAATATTATAAAAATCTGTTCTGGGGCTGGAGAGATGGTTCGACTGTTAAGAGCACTGACTGCTATTCTAGAAGACCTGGGTTTGAGCCTTAGCACCCAATGGAAGCTCACAACCCTTTCTAAGTGTAGTTCCATGGGATCCAATACCCTCTTCTGGCCTCTGGGGACACTGAACACTCATGGGGCACAGACATACATGTAGGCAAAACACCTATACACACAACATTAAAAAAAAAAAAGAACTGATCATACCACTCTTATATTCTTTCTTCTTTATTCATTCATTCATAATTACTTATTTATTTTTTGTCTTTTCGAGACAGGGTTTCTCTGTAGCTTTGGAATCTTTCCTGGAACTCGCTCTGTAAACCAGGCTGGCATCGAACTCACAGAAATTTGCCTGACTCTGCCCCCCAAGTGCCGGGATTAAAGGTGTGTGACACCACCGCCTAGCTATTCATTATTTATAAATGTAAATGATGACGTGTCTTTTAATTGCTTTGGGAATGTGGGAAATTAGTCCCTGATAAAATGCATGACAGGACCACAGAAATTTGTATATCACTTAAATCGATTAGCCCCAGTATGGTACCATTGCTATTTGCCATCTTCATATACAAACAAGAATATATAAGTTACCTGTAACAATATACACAATCTTGTAAAAATCCTATTTACCTTTTTCTATGGCTATAAGTGTACAGTGCTTTTAGAAGTAAAAGATACTGAACTATCTAGAAATAGTTCTAAGTAGTAACAGTGAATCTTATTTTCAACTTTTGATCAAGGAAAAAGAAAATAAAACTGACAAAAAAATACCCAAGCCAGGAGAGTTGAGTCCCATGTACATGGAATACATGAACAGTATTCCAGGAGAATCACATATACACAGAAGACATGAATAGTATCCCAGGAGAATCACGTATACACAGAAGACGTGAACAGTATTCCAGGAGAATCACATATACACAGAAGACATGAATAGTATTCCAGGAGAATCACGTATACACAGAAGACGTGAACATTATTCCAGGAGAATCACATATACACAGAAGACATGAACAATATTTCAGGAGAATCACGTATACACAGAAGACGTGAACGTTATTCCAGGAGAATCACAGATACATAGAAGACATGAACAGTATAGATTCGTTTTAGTTAAGTCCATTCTACTTATACACTTAAAATACAAAATACTTTTCAATTTGTGAAGAAGCTGACTGCATTTAGCACCAGAAAGAAACTGTTCTGATTGTTGTTCAATCAAGATTTCAACATCCTGAACCAGAAAAGGAAGTTCATGAAATCCAGATGTACTCCAGCCATCCCTGGATCACCACCTGCACCTCGAGGCTACTTGATGCTGCGGACTACTCTCCTGCAGTGGCTTGTCTTCATTTCCTCCAGCGCTTGCTCCAGCTGTTGAACCAAATGAAGCAGGGTAGCTGGGTCTGTCTGCAAAAGATGGGTGCTGTGGTCGCCATTCTGATCAAGGTGCAGCTTTACAGTCACTGATGGTTTAATCTGTTGCCGGAGACTTCTGCTTGCAAGCTTGGAGACACAGAAGGAGCACAGTTACTCTTAAGTAAGGATGCTGCACAGGGAACTTCTAAATTACACTGTACCGGGTTAAAAATAAAATTTGAGATGAATCACAAACTTTTAAATGAAAAGTAAACTTTAAGACCTTTGCAAAGAAAAAAACGCTGGCACTGTAAAGGAAACCTCGTGGTATGAAAAAATTCCTTAAACAGGATAAAAAGCTTGTGCCTTTAATGTCATCACTTGGGAGGCAGAGGCAGGTGAATCTTTGTGAGTTCAAGGCCAGCCTCGTCTACAGAGTGAGTTTCAGGATAGTCAGGGCTGTACAGAAAAACCCTGCCCCTAGAAACAAAACAAATAAATGAATAAATAAATACACTTCAATTTAAAAAGGTAATATAATAGAGTAAGGAGATAGTAAGACAAAAATAGCATACCATACAGAAGGGGAAAATGATTATAAAACCTTACATTCTTTACATTTCTAAATTCCTTTTTTTTCCTGATTTACCCAATGATGCCAAATTAGTTTTCTTAAACAACTGCTTCAATTTTACATGTTTATCCAAGATCTACATGGTTTCCCAGTGTCTGCTATGTTATATCTAAACTCTCACCAAATTTCTTTTTTTTTAAAGAAAAAATATTTATTTATTTATTATGCATACAATATACTGTCTGTGTGTATGTCTGCAGGCCAGAAGAGGGTACCAGACCTCATTACAGATGGTTGTGAGCCACCATGTGGTTGTCAGGAAATGAACTCAGGACCTTTGGAAGAGCAGGCAATGCTCTTAACCACTGAGCCATCTTTCCAGCCCCTTACCAAATTTCTGTAACCCATTTTACTACCTTACAGCCCACAGATGAGTATCGCCTCGACCCCTGCATGTATACACAGCTACAATGGGTTAGAAGGAAAGTCTGTGTCCTAGCTTAGGACGCTGGTTACCTTTGGGAAGGAGGAAAGGAGCAACCACTGGTACAAGGTAAGAAAGATGTTTGTGGGGTGCTGGTCATGGTCACGTCCACATTATGTATATGTGACTATGTAGTAACTCATTGAGTGCAGAGATCTGGACACTTTCCTTTGTGGGTTTCATGTTCCGGAGAAATGATTTAAGAAAAAAAGGGCATTGCCAAAAACAAAAACCAAAACCAAAACCCCACAAACAACTGTTTTTTAAATCATCTTTTCTTAAAATTATTTCTTTAAAACTTTACAAATTGGGGCCTTTGGGTTGGTTCAGTGGCCTGGGGCACTTTCTGTCATGCCTGGTAACCTGAATTCAATCCCTCAGGACAACAAAAGTTGTCCTCTGACCTCTACACAAGTGCCATGCACATACACTAAATAAATACATATAATAAAAACAAATTAAAAACCTTTGAAATTAAACTTAGTAAATTATATTAGAAGTAAAAAGAAATGAGATATTTGTGAAATGACCCAAAAATGACCATTAAAATATAAACATTTTTTCAAACCAGAGTTCAGTTAAGGAGGTAAATAACAGAGCATATAAATAATTCTTATAGTCTATGCCAGTTTTTTTTTTTTTCAAGTCTTACTTGTACGTCTAGTCGCCATTCAAGACTATGGTAACTGGGAAGACGAGGTGTCAACTCATTCAGAATAGTTCTGATCTCCTTTCTGTTGTCCAGGTAAAGCTGAAGCAATAATCTATTCAGTTCTTCAGAGAATCCCAGGACAAAAACAGAGTCTTGGAAATCCAGTTCAGAAATCTAAAGATAAATTTGAGTTCAACAGAACACTGGGATTTACCTTTGTCTAGTAAATGTTAGGCATTTCTAAACACAAACGTTCTGTCTACAACATTCCTTACAGTTAAAGACAATCACTGCCCACTGTTTCAAAAATCCAAGTTACTAACATACAAAATAACCTCATTAAAATACAAAAAGAGGCAGCCTCCCTGGTTCAAATCCAGCTGCGTTCCCCAGACCTGGGGGGTCCCATGGCTGCCACGTGCCCAGATGGAATGTTACCCCTTAAGTACCATTTTCTTCCAGGGCCACTTGTTTTTCAAACACGGTGGTTCTGGGCTGGGACTGTCCCTTAGACAAGAATAGATCTGGAGTTATAGTCTGAAGCACATAGCTGGGGCTCAAGTTCAAATGAGCCTTCTTTTTCCTCTGCTTTTCCTCTTGACTGAAGGCAGACTATTATTTGTGAGACACAGACTACTGCAGATTGGACCAATCCTGACTCAAGAAAAAGGATCTCTAGCCTTCTGGACGCCTGCTGTGCTGTTGTTCCACAGCTTTCTGCCCCTTGTTTCTTACTAGTTTCTTGACTTGTTCTTGTGGACTTTTCCTCAGGGATATACTGGCCTGCAGGTCCTAATTCCCCCGCTCACCACTGGAGAACAGCTCACTTGCTGTCTAGTGATGCTGCATTGGTGAGTGGACCGTGTTTCAGTAACTCTGACCTGATCACCCCAGACCTGGTCGTGTTCTACTGCCAGACCTTTTCCTGGGGGGCTTGAACACAGAACGGGAAGGTAGACACTCACGTCACAGACCCACACATTTCTGCCTGACTGGGCCTGCAGATTTAGGTGCCAGACTAAGGCTCCTCGGATCATCCAGCTCCCTCTCCCCTGGTACTTAAACTGATGTGGACGGGAACTGAGGGATGAGTTGGGGGTGGAGGACGAAAGGGAGAATCACTGTGCTTCGTTCAGCCTGATGTGAAGGAGGGTTGGCGTTTTTCCTGCATTGTCTCTTTTCTTACTGTTTCTTTAATAAATGGGATGAGGGCAAAAAAAAAAAAACAACCCAAAAACAATTAAGACGGCCAATTTTATTGATTATTTTCCCATCTAGTCAAATACTGACTGCTGATACATAAAGAAATGCAATATTTCATTCTTCTCTCTCCTAGGATACACGTATGGTGGCATATGATACAGAATTTTATAATTTATACTAGCAAGAGGCATTTATATTAGATAATGCCCTTAACACTACCGTTTAGGTATACTGCACAAATTCTATTATGAGTTACTAATTTGTATTAGCAAGAGGCATTCATATTAGATAATGCTCTTAACACTACTGTTTAGGTATACTGCAAAAATTCGATTATGAGTTACTAATTTATAACAGGTGCCTGTCTGAAAGGATCTGAGTAATACAATACCATTCTCAGAAGCCTTACCATGAGCTTGGAGCTCTCAGTAAGAAGATATGTCAATCCTTCCACACCATGCTGGATAGTGTCACTACTCACATTGAGTTTTCCTAAGGAAAAAAGAGAGAGAAAAATAAAAAGATTATCCTTTTGTTTAAAATCAAACAAACAAAAAACACGTTCAATTACTCTAAGTTTTCAAACAGTTTAATGAAAAGTGAGTTAAGCAGAGATTCCTGTTCCTTCTCAACCCACCCCACTAACAGATACCTTCGGTATTTCTCTCGAACCACCCATAACAAAACACAGACCTGTGAACAGAGACACAAAGCCTCTTTAAGGTAGGCAGAAGAGGAACTCAACAGAGATGTTCTTAATCACACTGCCCCCCCCTTCAGTAAAAGAGGCTTGCGGGCTGTAAACGACAACTGAACACTTGAAGGAAGTCCTCAGCTAATCTGACAGTTCCTTTTCATGAGCGTGCAGTATTTACTAAGCAGGTGGCACTGTATTTATTTAAAATACGAAGGCACTTATTTATTTATTTATTGTGAGCGCTTTAAAATCTCAATTACTTGCAGAGGTTGCGCCCTGGTTAATGGCTATGCAATGGGTACAAGACTCTAGGTCTTGCAAAGGTCCCTGCCGGACTGAGCAAGAGATCGGATAGCACTTTCCAGTTCAACAGACAGAGCCTGTCTCCTCCCTTTCTTACTGGCGGCGCCTTCGTAGATCTTCGGGTTAGATCCCCGTCGGAGGAACTCCACCGCGATCCTCCCGAACTCGGCGACCACTGCAACGGAAGTCAGGAGGCCGTAAGCGTTGGGCCGGACCCGGGACTGTCCCCGCCGCATGCACCCCGCACTCCCTTACCTGCGCTATCCACTTGCGGTAGGAAGGCCAGGTGCTCCTTATGCTCCTCGGACAAATCGAGCAGCATCTTAGCAAAGCAGGCCTCCTCCTGCCTCCGACATTCAGCACCGGCCCCGCCCTCGCCACTTCCTGCCTCTGTGCAGCAAAAAGAAGCTCGGGCGGCGCTGCACTGCCCATGCTTTGGGTTCCGGTGTCTGGCAGTCCGACCGGCACTAAATCTCAGGGCTCACAGGGTAGGAATGAAGGGGGCGCTGGGGCGCGGCTGAGTAAGAAGGCCCAAATCTTCCATTCATAAATCATCCTGCAAAAGTATAGTATGTGGGACTGGAGAGGTGGGTCAATGATTAAGAACCCGTGTTGCTCTTGCAGAGAACCCAGATTCAGTTCCGTACTCAAATGGTATCTCACAACCATGACTAGTTCTAGTTGTAAGGAATACAATGTCCTCTTGTGAACTCCATGAGCACCAGGCACGTACGTACCGTAGGTAGGTACTTGCAAGCATATATACTTATACACACAAAGTAAAATTTTTTAAAAAGTATAATATGTGCTTACTAGGTGCCCTGCTCTAGGCTCTATGGCATCAGCCTACTTGTGGGACGTAGGTTAATATCAATAACCAATATTTGTTACTCAGTGTCAGGATGTTTTTATGTTGAACTCACACTTCATAAGAAACTCGTTTTGTAGGTCCATTACCACTTTCATTAAATATAAGTACACGCTGAGTGAAGCAACAGAAACTTAATTTGTTTGCACACAACTTTTGTATGTGGTTTATCTCATGTTGTAGTTTCAATAACCATGGCCTCCTTTTTAAAAAGCAAGAAACCAAAGCAGAAGATTTTATGTCAAAACTTGAAGGAGATTGTTAGAGGCCTCACCTGTCTTCTCCGAGCCACTCCTTTCTGCACTCCGGGCTGCGTGTTTAAAATTTGTAACATTTAGCATATATATATGCTAATATATTATGATGTATATATGATAATTATTGTTGCATATATGTATGATGTATGTGAGCCCAAATGTGTGAAGGTGAGAGGCCAACCTTCAGCAATAGTGTCTCCCCTTCCACTGTGGTATCCCAGGATGGAACTCGGGTCATCAAACTTGCCATCTCCCCGGTAATTTTGATTGTTTGGCATGTTTGGGGTGCTGGGAGATCAAACCCAGGGTTTTCTTCATGGTAAATGTGTACCCTACCACTAATTATGTCTTCAGCACTGTACAAAGTTTTATGTATGAATCTAAATTATGATGATGATAATAATGATGACAATAACAGATGTTTGCACGATTCAGAACTTTTTTTTTTTTTTTTTTGGTTTTTCGAGACAGGTTTTTCTCTGTGTAACAGCCCTAACTGTCCTGGAAACTACCTCTTGTAGACCAGGCTGGCCTCAAACTCACAAAGATCCGCCTGCCTCTGCCTCCCAGGTGCTGGGATTAAAGGTGTGCACCACCACAGGCCGGCTCCATTATTTTTATCTTTTGACGATGTGTAAGAATTTGGTCACCTCTTTTGCTTTGGTTCATATATAAAAGACTATCGAATGACAATTGATAGTGACTCTCCAAATCTTTCTCCTCTGGTAGGAGGAAAGAGAAGGAGGGAAAAAGGGGGGAAGGAGAGAAAGAAACGGGGGAGAGAGAATTCATTACTATCTTTTTCTCTAGAAGTCTAGGGATTTAACCCAAGTCCTCTTAAATGCTAGTCCGGTGCTTTTTATCATCTTCAACTAGAGAAGCCTTTCCTTAATCTGCCATCCAGACAGATTAAACCTCCCTGTTTCTACCATATCTTTTACATCTAATTACAACTGTTTGCTGCACTGATGTCTCTTTGAGAGACAAATGAGGAAGACCCACTACTCTTTAGTGGTCAGATGTTAAGAATTATTAAAGTGCTGTTAAAAACATTAACGTTAATGATAAAAAAATGTAAGTTCTTGTAAAATAGCCTTCTGCTGTTCATTGTTCAGTAATGAGTAAAAACACTGGGAAATGGGAAGTTTCACTTCCTAGGTGGCAGCTGTTAGTTTATCCCTTTCTGTTTTTATGCTTTGAGCAAAAGGACGGCCAGTCAGCAGCTGGCTGCTCTATCCTTACACAACCATTGACTGCTTTGTACACTCCACAAACACCTTGAGGAAACCACACAGATACTTGCATTGGTTTCTTAAGGTGCAGCCTTAACCGGGGTGGTTTTAAACACTTTGTCTAAGACTTTGTGCTACCGCAAGCTTTTGTGAACCCAAGGAGAGTCTGTAAGCATTTCTATTTAGGTCAGAAAGGGAACACTTCCCCTGGCGACCCAGCCAAAGGACTGCTATGCTTTGCACAAAAGGGAAGATGCTGAGCAAACATACCTTCATTTATGTGTGAGATTTTGCTGCAATTGGTGCAACCACCAGTCCTTTGGATTTAGAAGCTGGCTGCCCAGTTGTTGAGCTGGCAGGGATCGGTCCCCTTACACTGCATTCCTTGCTGCTGCCTCTTCAGACCCAATAAAAGGCTTTTCTCTGGAGGTGGTTCCTTGCCCACTTCTAGAAGCAGACACAGTAAAGGAGCAACAGTGGTAAAATCAACAAAGTAGCAACAACTGCAACAACTGAGCAGCCAGAGCAGCAAGCCAGAGAGGTGACAGAGCAGTCTGATGCTTGACAGCGGGAGAGGGAGAGCTGAGAGGCAAGGATGGTAAAATGGCTGGTTTCTCAGTAACTGAAGCGGGAGAGAAGAACTAAACAGAACAGCGGAGTGATATGGCTCAGAAGGTAAAAGGTGATTGCTGCAAAGCCTGAAGACCTGAATTCAATTCCTGTGACCCAGGAGAAAAAAAAAAACTGACTCCTATATGTTTTTCTCTAACTTTTCAGAGCACACTGTGGCACATGTGTTCACATACATATAAACACATTCTCCCTCTCCCCCACCCCTTTCTCTCTCGCATTCTTTTCTAATGTATTAAATATTTTTGAAAAGAACCAAAGAGTAGCTTCAGGTCTTGGTTGTTGGAAGAGTTCATGAGTTCTAGGGAGTCAGTGGTCTCCTAGGAGCTACACAATTGGCAATCACCAAAGGGTGAGAACTCCCATAGAGTCTTCAGTGCTGGCTACTGTTAAAGACTAGAATCTTGATTTCCCAGGCCTAAGAAAGAGTTATAATCCTTGTAGCAACAAGGATCCTGGTACTGTAGACCTACACAGGAGCCATGAAACTTATAGAAGTAAGAATTCCATAATCCAGTGTTAAATTTCTGAGGCAGCTTAGAGAGACAGGAGGCAGAAAAGAGACCACTGTGACTTCAACAGATGGAACTATTTATTTTCAACAGTGAGGGCAGTCACAGCAGGGAAGTGGTCTTCAAAAAGAGGAAGGGAACCCTTTATATAGGCTTACATAGGAGGTTTGGGGAGTGCAGCTGCTGGGGCTACAGGAAAGCCTGCAGGTTTTCCCTCCTGGGATTGTTTATCAGACAAGCCCGGTTTATCTTCAGAAGCTGCCTTGCGTAGGCTATCAGGATACAGGGTCATAGTGTGAACTGAATTTGGCAGTGCCAGGGAGTAGGGAGGGACTGGAGGGCTTTTGTAGTTTTCTGGGTTTTTTTGTTTGTTTGTTTGTTGTTTTTTTTTTTATCACAACACTGGCAGGGCTAAGAGTCTTACTGCCAGAGACCCACACAATACCCATATCAGAAAAGGCTATCTGTAATGAGTCTTTCTCTGGACTGCCAGCCAGCTCCCAAATAACAGCATGGAGACTTCTTGTTGATTATGAAAGCTTGGCCTTAGCTTAGACTTGTCCCACTAGCTCTTATAAGTTATTAACTCATTTATATTATAATCTCTGTCTTGCCCTGTGGCTCTTTACCTTCCTTTCACTCTGTACGTCCAACTCCCTCCATGTCTCCTTGGTGTCTTCCGTACACATACTTTCATCTCCTTTCTCTGTTCCTTTCTCTGTGCCTGGAAGTTCCTGCCTATACCTTCTGCCTAGCTACTGGCTGTCCAGCCCTTTATTAAACCAGTCACAATAATATATCTTCACAATGTGTACAAATATCCCACAACAGTTACCACCTACTACTGGGCCCATATGCTGCTGCCTTCTGCTGCCAAAACTTACTGTTCGTGCCCACCTGTGATTTTGAGTAGGACAAAAGGACTCTGACCAATTGCTTGGAAACATTTGAACATGTTTGCTAGGCCTTGAAGCAAGTGTTAGGGAAGTGTGTGAAATGGGAGCTCTTTTCTGTTGCCGCTGGAAATGTGAAATTGCAAAGGTATCCTAAAAACTCTTGTACGATTTCTTACAATGCTAATTTTGTACTCACCTTATCACTAAATCATTCTGTTCCTAGGCATTTAGGACATAAAAACATATATCTGGAAAACAATTTGAGGACAGCGTCCATGTATGCTTTATGCACAATATCTCAGGAATGATGACAGTCCAAATCTCTATGCTTTACAATGGATAATATGAAAAATCCATAAACAGAACCCTAACTGCTCAGGAAGTAATTAAGAAAAAAACCCTAGTACTGGACGGCGTGTGTCAAGTGTAATTCCTAGCACTTGCGAGGCTGAGGCAGGAAGATTGCCACAGGTTTTAGATTGACTTGGACTACAAAATTAGTTCCAGGCCAGCCAGGACTCCATATTACATTATGTCTCATAAAACCAGACTAAGCCCAAACAAGAAGGGCAGTGGAAATTAATCGTAAAACATCAGAGCCCATGTGAGCAGTAGTGTCCCAAATGTTTTTCAAATCTTTTTCCTAGAATTTGATGTCACAACAGCTCTATCTTTTAATAGTTGAGATTTATTCAGCAGCTTGAAGAAACTTCCTAGTGTCTTCAATAATTCTACATGTATACCGGGATATACTGTCCACACAGATACATACCTCTTAAAATCAGTATGTGGTAAGTAATATCCTTGAGGTCTATTGTATACAAGCTTTACTTTAGTTTGAAAAAAATACTAGCAAGAGATGTTCCAGCAGAAGTTAAAATGATGTCTGAACCTAGGGGTTTTCAGTAATTCTCACAGGGACCTTGTTAAAATACATATTTTATTTAAAAGTCATCTTACTATTTCCTCATTTATATGACTTTTAAACTCCAGAGCAATGAAACAAACCCAGAAAAAAAGGTAAAACATACAGTAAAGATTATAGCTCCATTCCTATATCCTCCTTAGTTTCCAACCCCACCTGCATCTTCTGGTGTCAACATTTGTTTGTTTGTTTCCTGTGAGTTCTTTCTGGGACTGGACCGGGAGGGGGGCGGTCCTGACACTTTGACATCAGAACAGTACTGTCCTTTAAAGCATTGTCCACTAAGAGTTTAAGTGATGTTTGGTCATCTGTATTCCTGAAGGCTAACCTTGGGCATCCACTTGACTGGGTCGGGAACTGATGTGAGATAAGACTACGAGATAAGAGGTTGTGAGGGGTTATCTGGACAAAGGCTAGCCCCTGAGAAAGTGGGTGAGAGGTTATCTGGATAGAGGTGAATCCCTAATGTGTGTGAGGGGTTTTCTTGTTTAGGTTATTTGAAAGTGGGTAGATCCACATTACATGGCATCTTCTAATAGCAGCTGTTTCAGTCACTGCTCTATCGCTGTGAAGAGACACATGACCAAGGTGACTCTTATGAAAGAAAACATTTAATTGGGGCTGGCTTACAGTTTCAGAGGTTTAGTCCATTATCATCATGGTGGGGAGCACGGTAGCCTGCAGGCAGGTGCTGGAGTAGCAGCTGAGAGCTACATCCTGATCCACAGGCAGAGAAACGGGGTCTGACATGGGCTTTTGAAACATCAAAACACATCTCCAGTGAAACACTTCAAAAAAAAAAAAAACCCTAAGAATTCAAATATATGAGCCTGTGGAGGGAGGCATTCTTATTCAGAACACCACAACAGTCACAAGTAAGGGGTCCCAGGGGAAAACTTTGCTTCTTGCCGGCCTGCTCTTGTGCCTCAGTTTCCCTTGTTGTTGTTGCTGCTGCTGCATTTCTTCCCTGAAAGAAAAATCCATTTTCTTCTGGCTGCTGATATGAAGACCAGGAATCCTTCCTGCCTTGGCACCAGGTTAGAATGGTGGAACTGTCCATCCTCCTGGATCGAGCTGCTGTTGGACCATCCAAGCATCTTGTGAGCCAATCTCATACACCCTTTCAATATATAATCATTTTGTGGGTTTGGCTCCTCTAGAGAACTTTGAATAATACAGTGTCTAAGAAAGTTTTTGTTAAATGTTCAACACCCGGTTGAAGCCATGTAGCACTAGAAACGTAGTTAGATATGTTGACGTTAGAAATGGAGACTCTATTTGACCATATCATGCTCCAAACTAGGGCTGATGTGGCATTTCAAAGCAAAATTTCTGGAAGGTTTTCACACTTTGCTGGACCTTCTTGAACAGTCAGGTTAGAAATGCTCTTTTTGGCCAGGACTCTTGCTATTTCTAATTGCTGGAGCCATCGCTTCTCCTTAAAGGCGCTACAAGAAAAATAAAACAAACAAAAAATACAAAGACACAATTCACAAGGAGACCCAACCTCTTCCCTGCCCATTGCTGAATACTGAGAGTGATTTTATTTTATTTTTTAATTTTTTAATTTTTTTTTTTTTTAGTTTTTCAAGTCAAGGTTTTGCTGTAGTTTTAGATCCTGGCCTAGAACTAGCTCTTGTAGACCAGGCTGGCCTCGAACTCACAGAGATCCATTTGCCTCTGCCTCCCGAGTGCTGGGAATAAAGGCATGTGCCACCACTGCCTGGCTGAGGGTGATGTCATTACTGTCTAGTTCACTTGCAACATAGGCATGAGAGGAACTATAAACTACGGTCTTTCTAAAGCCAAGGTCTTACGATGAGGCAAAAAGGATATTCTCCCTAGAAAGTGCTAGAAGTTTACAAACTGCCACTAGAAACTGAAAACCACACAAGATCATGGAGAATTTTCTGGGTTGTAACATTGCTATCTGTCCTTCCTAGGCAACTCTATGTAGCACACCCCCTCACTATTCTTCTTTCCTGACCCCAGTAGGATTTTTAAATTTAAAAGCAAGTTTGATTTTGGTGGTCTTTAACTGGAAATGCTAGGGAACTAGTTCTTTGCTTTGCTCTGTCTACACTATAAAAGACTTGTAGATTCTACTACAGCAGCTGCTGCCTTGTACAATGAAAATGTGATTCATCAAAGAGGGATCTTACAGGCTGGAGGGAGAGCTCAGTAGTCAAAAGCACTGTCTACTCTTGCAGAAGACCCTGACTCAGTTCCCAGCCTCTCATGCTAGCTCACAGCCACCTATAGCTCCTATTCCAGAGGATCAGATGCCTTCTTCTGGCCCCCACATTAGGGATACTTTCTCCTATATACAAGAGGGTACAGGGCATGAGACAATGGCTCCCTCAGCTCCTTTCCACAGTCCAGCAGTCCAGGAAGACCACACAGACCCTGGCAAAGGTGCAATGGGATAGGGCACAAACAGATAGGTTGAAGTAAAAGAGAAAATTACTGAGAAACGAGAACCAGAATATAGATTTGAAATAATGTTCAAGGAACGACAGCCAGGCAGGACACCCTTCCTGGAAGTCCCCTTCTGCACTAACCCCTTGTTTGAACAAAATGGGCTTTTTTTCCAGAAATTTTCATCTCAGTCTTGAATTGACTATTTGACAGCTGCCATCTTTGTGACATACAGCTGCAAAGCCCCTAGCTTAGAGAGAAAACTGATCAGAAGTGTTTACGAAAGGCAACCACAAACTCACCCTATTACCCCTTCATCCCTAGGTACAGAACAAGATAACAAATGCTGATCTCCCCAAAGGACTTCCACGTAAACAGTCATGTATTTTAATTCAGAACAGCCTCTAAGTTAACGACAACCCAGATTTTCACCAATAAAAATAGATAAATAATCAGGATAAGGGATATTACATAGAGTTGGAATATGTAGACATGAGAAAAATCAATACACACAGAATACAAGTTAATCTCATAGGTGATATTGTTATGGTAAAAATAAAACGGCACTGTTCCCCGAGTGGCCTGCTGGCCACAAGGGGCAGTGAGTCCCAGGCTGGGAGCCGAGTGGCAGGTGAGAGACTGAGAGGGACAGGCAGGCCATGCAGAGTGAGGTTGGATATTTATTTAGTGGGTTATGGAAGGGAAGGGGAAAGGAGAGAGGGAAGGAGAAGGAGGAAAAGCAGAGAGAGGCAGAAAGAGAGAGAAACACAGAGAGAGAAACAGAAAGGGGGAAAGGCAGAAGTGGGGATAAGGGAGAGAGCTGGAAAGGGAAGGGCTCAGACTGGAAGAGGAAGATCTGCTTGCCTCGGAGGTGGATGGAGAAGGGAGTGGGTGGGGCTTGTCTCTAAAAGGGACAGGACAAACCATTACAAATATGTTGAGGAAAACAGCCAGGTGGAGGAAGTGAAGAAAAGGATAAGTCTTGAGTAAGGATAGTGGTTGTCTCTGGAAAGACTTGCTGTCATTTATTTTTTTTTCCAAAACACTTTTACACAAGTGTAAACAGAATCTGCCTTGATGTTCACAAAATTGATCACCATAGTGTCTTTCTGCTGAACTGGTGTCTCTGCATTAGAGCAGATGCAAAGAAAACATAGAAAGTGAAGAGTCTTCTAACTGGACTCGGTCAGAAAGAGGCTAGGATCATAGGCATGTGTGACCACACTAAGATCTGCTGATTATTTTTTTTTTAATTCTTAAATTTTTAAACATTGCCATAAAGTTGGATCCTAAATTTTGAATTTTACAGCCTAAATTCCTCTCCCCACTAGGTGGCAGCAAGTTAGGAGCAAACCAAACCAGTATGGAAAGGAAAGCAAACCGATGAAGTCCTGTTTTAAATTGCCTTCTCATGATGCTGAGCAAGAAAGAAAAAAAACAGTCATACATCTACACCTCTCTAACCCAGGCACCCAGCTGTGCCTCACCTCTAAAACATAACATAAATGTTTCAATGAGAAGGCTTTATTTTCAGTTATGGATGTGAATGTTCCTGAAAGCCCACTTGATACACTTCTGTGTCCTCCATTGTGATAGTCTATCCCTTTAAACATCAGTGCCAGTGCTACCATTCTACCTAGGACAGATCTCTCTCCTGTGAATCTTGTCCCATAAGCCTCCTTAGACCTTTATGGCTCAATTTGTTTTCAATTTATTATTATTATTATTATTATTATTATTATTATTATTATTATTTTGTTCCTTCTACTTTAATGGCTATTCAGTCTTTGGGGCAGTTTTGAGGACAGCCTCCCATATTTTCAGTTTCTTTGTCCTGTGTCCCTTGGGAGCTCAAGGACTGGCTGATAGCACCAGTTGAGTTTTTCCATAGATTTGAGGATAAATGAGATCCTCTTAGTCCCTGTCTCCCAAGTGCTGGGATTAGAGAGAGGCAAGTGTCACCAACTCAGTGAGACAAAGTCCTTGATGCTAAGTAAATAAGTAAGTGTTAAAACAACTTGTGTTACTCAGAATGCTGCAGTAGGGCTTCGTGAACATGTCTCTGTCCCAGATCTGCCTTAGCAAACATGCCCTCGCTTGTTTAAAGAGTAAACATTACCTTGCTACAGCTAAACAGTAGATGGCGTTCTCTCTCGGAGTCCTCCCACTGTGCTCTGAGAAAGACGCGAAGAAGGATCTTAGCAAGCGGTTGGCACCGGGCGGAGTGCAGTGGAGTATTCGGTGGGGATAATCCACTCTGGAGACTGGAGGGAGCGGAACCTGGGGGAGATAGGCATTTCTTACGTACTTTTCTTTTCTCCCAGCTTGGGCAGTTTTATTTTGCTGGCTTTCTTGTTGAGGACGTTGTGGTTCTGAGGACGTATTTGTTTTTACGAAGGATGGGAGTGTGATTTGTTTACTGGTGTCCCTTTGCGAAACGACGGGTTTCCTGCTTGATTGTTGCTTGCAAGGTGGTAGTTTACTCCGAGTGCTTTGCCAGCTCTTGTCTCCAGCCTTGTGCCAGCTCTTGGATGTCATTTTTGGCTTAGTAAAACCGTCCACCACCACGGTGTCTCCAACTTTTGCCCCAGAGATTCTTGCTCTGTTAAGCTGGCTTTTCTGGCCTCTATGACTCTGAGCTCTGAGAATCCACTGCTTTATTTTAATATAAATCCTCATCGGAACTGAAAGTTTGAGAAAAGAAACTGTGGACCACATTTTATTCAGTAAATATAATACACAGGCTTCATGCTGACGTTTCGCTGCAATGGCCAGGGGCGTTCGCCCGGCTGCATTTTTACATTCCAGGCACAGGACGTCGCAGTTGACAAAGGCCTTCAGAATTAACAGTTGGCCGGCCTCTGCAGCTGCATGAATAGGGCAATCAGAGACGTCCGCGTGAAGGGCTTCGTGGCACCAGGCTCGATAAGGGTGAACACCAACCGCCTCGTGGGGCTGCACGCCCTGCTTCAGAGCCCATTCAGTGAGTTCAGTGTGTCCGTGAAAGGCGGCGATGTACAGGGCTACCCTTTTCTGGTACCTGAATGAGCGCAGCAAGTTTGGCAGAAAGGGTTAGTAAGTCAGCAAACAGACAGCAATCAATATTCCTTACGATGCTCATTTATAATGATATTTTATTTATGTTTACTCATTTAACTGTGAGCATAGTTTAGAGGGGTTGGGATGTTGGTACCGTGGGTAAAACTTCCTGGTGAACCGGTAACTTGGCGCTGTGAGGACAGAGACACATTGCTAGGACTTGCTGCCCGCTGGCCTGCACCGGAGAGAGACCTTGTCTCAAAAGAACACGGTAGAAAGTGATAGAGCAGGACACCTGACATCCACCTCTGACTTTCATGCATGAGCTCACACACGTGCCCCTGCATGCCCAGAATGTACAACACCACACACACACACACACGCACACGCACACACGCACACACATACACACAAACAATCAGTTTAGGTTTTGTGAGACCACACTGGTCTTAGACCCACTAGGTAGCTAAGGCTGGCCTTGAACTCCTGATTCTCCCTATCTGTTGACTGTTGGCGCTGTGGGCCTGTGCTACCACACATGAGCTATAGGTCTTAAAATAGATCACGCCTTGTACCTTACCACCCCCGCCATTCCCAATATCTTGCCGGAAACTTGAAAGATAAGTCAAGTATACATCTTTGAAATCTCAGTTTCCTCACATGAGGCGTGCCTACCATGAAATTGTTGTACATACGAAGGATAAAACATAAACGCAGTACAAGGCTTGGTCACAGGCAGTATGCTCACTAACACAGTATGAAAAGTCACACAGGTATTTGTTTGCATTTAGAATATGAAACAGGATTGCAACTATCCCTAAACAGAAGCTGATGGGGAGGTTAGACTCTTTCACCGTTGGTTGCAAGAATTAACTCCTGGCTGTCGTTTTTATGGAGCCTTTGGAGCGCCTGGTGGTGTCTGGATTTGGTAAAACATGTTCAAATCACCCACAAGAGGGCACTGTTCTAAAACACCTGACCACTAACAGTTAATTCAACTTTGGGAAGCTGCTGGTTGTAGTAACGCAGTAAAATAACCACCAGCTTCTCCAAGTCAACCGTGGTCAACAGTCCCAGACACACATCACCCTCCACGTAAGGCAAAAGAGGGAACTATTGATCCAGCGACAGGACAGCTTTTTATTCTGATCTCAGCAAACACATTCTTTCATGCAGAATGAGATTCATGTCAGGGGCACAAGAGAGAGGGCAGCTTGGTATCTTGTGTGAGCTGTCCTGATGGTCACTGTATGTGAAGGGCTGGCTAGAGACAATGGCAGGTAACCAAGTCAGTTCTTAATAAGGCTTCTAAAGGAGAAGCCGGACTCTGTCATTTCTAAACTCTAATACAACCAAACATTTGAAGTTGAATAACAGCTTATGATTGAGGACAATATCTGTTGTTAAACCCTGGCATCCAATGAAGAAACCAGTTGCAGTCATATTTCAAAGCCAGGGTCAAGGCTGAATGGAGGCTTGGGACAAAGGGACTTAAATCCATCTAACACCTGCTTTGGTTCTCGTACTTGAGTACTGGTCCTTCTTTTGATAAGTATCGTTGGACTTTAGGCTTTTGCCCGAGAAGACATCCCATGAGAAATTCCTTCCATCCATCCCAGACATCCAAACGAAGTGTTGTGCCTGTGGATTGAGAGAGATAATTTATGGTCCAGTCTGTCACCGTGGCTCAGCAATGGATTAAGCTTTAATGATAGCTTTCTCCAAACACAGCGAGAGCTTAGGGAAATGAAGCCTTGAAGTCGGGAGGCAGGGAGGGATGCTATTTTCCTTCAGGCCTCTATTGACTGGGGAAAGCCCTTTAACATACTCGGTTTGGGGTGAACAGGTTTATCAAATATGTATACACATCAGGCATTTACTTATAATCCATCATAAAGGATTTATTTTAGGAGCCAACGAGATGACTCAGTGAGTAAAGGTGCTTGATGCCTAGCCGGCCTACCTGAGTCTGATCCGGGGACCCACATGGTGGAAGAAAAGAACTGACTCCCGCGAGTTAGTCTCTGACCTCCACATGTATTTTGGCACAAAATAAATAAATAAATAAATGTTTAAAAAATATCTGGGACTGGAAAGATGTCTCAGTGGTAGAGTGCGTATTGCTCTTGCAGGGGATCTGGGATACGAAGTGGCTCACAACCACTTGTAATTCCAGATCCAAGGGTTCTGACACGTCCAGCTTCCTTGTACATCAGCACTCATGAGCTCGCAACCATTCCTTCCCAAACAGGCACACAGACAGACACGCGACACACAAACACACACAGAGTTTAAAATAAAATAAATGTTTAAAATATTTTAGTTGAAAACAATTCTTTGGTATATCATTTATAAAAGACTAAAGAAAGATTGCACACCGGTGCGATGGATAGATTTGTTTTCTTTGACAGAAGATATTAAATTTTGGGGTTAGAGAGATGGCTCAGTGGTTAAGAACACTTTTGACTCTTACAAAGGACCTGAATTTAGTTCCCAGCACCCATATGGTGGCTCCTAATTATCCGTAATTCCAGTTTCAAGGGATCTGATCAAGGACTGATAACCTCTTCTGACCTTTGTGGACACACACACACACACACACACACACAAGTTATGTTTTTCAAGACAGGGTTTCTCTGTGTAGTCCTGGCTGTCTTGGAACTTGCTCTGTAGACCAGGCTGCCCTTGAACTCAGAGATCTGCCTGCCTCTGCCTCCCAAGTGCTGGGGTTAAAGGCGTGCACCACCACCACCCGACTGATAAATATTTTTAAAAGGAATTAACTCTTGGCTGAGATATAAAATAACTTCAATATTTTTCAGAGCTTAACTGATATTTTAACTTTGTCACTGCTGAAAGTGTTGCTTCACATAACTATATAGCACAGATGCTGAAGGATGTTTAGTGCCATTTCAGAATGTTGGAAATTCTGTCCTTAATTTCAAGTCAAAATTCATTAAACAGTGTGGATGTGCAGGTGCATATGTATAGAGCCTAGAAGTCATTGTTGAGGGTCTTTATTTATTATGTATGTTACTTTTAGAAATTTTATGTGCATTGGTGTTTTGCCTGCAAAATGTGGAATATTCCTTTACACTGTGTGACGATATTTCTCTGTCATTGGTTTAATAAAAAAAAAACTAAATGGCCAATAGCTAGGTAGGATTTGGGGGGACAGAGAGAATGCTGGGAAGAAGAAGGACAGAATCGCGAGGGGTTGTCAGCCAGACACAGAGGAAGCAGGAAAGCATCATGGGCAGAATAAAGGTAATAAGGTCACATGGCAGAAAGTAAACTAGTAGAAATGGGTTACCTTAAGTTGTAAGAGCTAGTTAGAAACAAGCCTAAGCTATCAGTCAAGCTTTCATAATTAATAAGAAGTCTCCATGTGGGAGCTGGCAGGCAGGCCAGAAAAACTGACTACACCTGCACGTCTGTTGAGGGTGCAGATCTTGGAGTTATAGACAGTTGTGAGCTGCCCTGGAGGTGCTGGGATTTGAACCTAGGTACTCATAAATGTTGAGTCATATCTCCAGCCCCCCACTAGGGTCTTTCTTCATCTACTTTCAACTTTTTTTCAATTTTTTTTTTTTTTTTGGTTTTGATTTTGGTTTTTTTGAGTCAGGGTTTCTCTGAAGCTTTGGAGCCTGTCCTGAAACTCGCTCTTATAGACCAGGCTAGTCTCAAGCTCACAGAGATCCATCTGCCTCTGCTTCCCTAATGCTGGGATTAAAGGTATGAGCCACCACCACCCGGCATCTCCCTTATTTTTAGAGGTAGGATCTCTTATTTGATCCAAACCTAAGCAATTCAACCAGACGAACTGGCCAGCAAATTCCACATAGCTTCTGTCTGTGCCCACTAAAGCTGGGGTTATAGGCATGCACCATTGCACCTGGCTTCTCTGTGGGTAGTGTGGCTCAAACCTGGGTTCTCCAGTTCGCAAGGCAAGCACTTTGTCAACAGAGCCATCTCCTCAACTCCCCATTTAAATTTTTTTTTTTCACTTGGAGGTGGGGGCAGTCACTCTCTCTCTATGTAGCTCTGGTCAGCTTGCCACACAGACCAGCGTGACCTCAGATTTGTGGGGATCCTCCTGTCTTTGCTTCCTAAGTGCTAGAATTAATAAACACGTACCACCATGGTTGGCTCATTTAGCTGAGCTTCCCCATGTTGTCAGGGAAATCCTCTCGGTTTATAGTCTCTTATTTTCAGCCTCTCTTTGGGATTAGCAGGTTCATAAGCCTGTAGCTTGATTTTTTTTTTTCCTGGCCTGGAAGCCCAGAATGCCTCCCATTCCTCCTCACAAACCATTTACAGTTCTGCATCTCGTGTGCTCCAGGCCACATTCTCCCGAATAACATCTTGTGATTCCATCAACCTGTGCTACTCTGGTTTGTTGGATTATAACTGAGGATACGGCCATGGCTCATTCTTTCCACTTTACTGTACCTGCCTAGCGGGCAGAGGCAGCTTTGTACATTCTGTATGAGCAGGTGTGTATGCTGACTCATTGAGAAACTTCAGTCTTTGGTTTTTCATCCTGGACTTGATTGCATTTCCAAAATGTTATTGTCCACTCCTTTGGGAGAGTGATTCATAGTTCGCTTTCAGATAGCAGCAAGGGTAAGAATGCTGTTCAGGATTTCTCTAGGTAAAGCGAGGAGGGTGGCTACCGGAATGCCAGTTACCCCTTAGGAATGGTAAGAAGCAGGTCAGAGTCACCCCACCCCAACACTTCTTTCTTGAGCCTTTCCTCCAATGTCCTGTGTTCTCCAGGTAGCCAGGAGATCTATCTAAATGGTTCCTGGGCTATGGATTTTGTATCTGAAACCCTCTCTCTCACCCCCGCTCCAATCTTATCCCTTCAATTGTTTATTTTAAGGGGTTCTTTTCTTCAACATACCATGAATGAACAATTCAGAAACTTTGCTTTTTTTTTTAAATCTGGGAAAGGTGGGTTTGGATGAAGTAATTTTTAAATTTTTCTCAGTTTTAAAATGTCACAATCCAAGAAGTGTGTGAGTGAATGAACATTCTCCAGAAATCATTCTAGTTTTGTTTTCTCTTTTGATCTTTAATTAAAGCACGAGATGATCAGTTGCCCTTGTGAGCCCTACATTCCACGTCAAGGGCGCCTCCAGCAAGTATTCAGAACTAGACTAGCACTCTGGGGACAAATCCAACGACTTCGCTGATCAAAAATGGAGACAATAACTGACATCGAAGTTTTGAGATCCTCAGCTCCAAAAGAAATGAAAATAGATTGCTAAGCAAGAGAAGAGCCTGGAGAAATATCAGTAAGTGTAGATTTAGCAGTGACAGAAAGCAAAACTATTTAGCTCAAGCATGCATACAGAGCCCTGGTGCGTTTGTTAAGGAAACTCAAAATCCCTCACAGCAAATATTTGGCACATTCCCACTCTGGGGTGGACCAGTCACCTTTCGACAAGGTCTGAGTCACTTTCTAGTCTACGAAAGACAAATCTAGTTCTTTTTCTCATTGATGTTTGGCCAAAAAGATGTGGCCTGACTCTATCGTATTGAAGGAGAGGCTGTGATCTTTCTGTCGGCGGATTCCAGTCCGCTAGGCAGCTTTTCACTGTTGTTGAGAAGCTTGTTTTTAAACAAAACTGGCAACGCTTAAAGATGAGATCATGCAAAGCGAGTTCTGCCACGTGCACTAAGGAAAAAGGAAACCTGAGCTCATCTGAGCTTGAAATACTCTTAGAAGATGAAAATGGTATCGCTTGGGTTTTGTCCTTCCACCCTGAGGATATTAGCAAAATACTGCTTTAAGAATTAGCAGAAGAGAGCTGGAGAGACGGCTCAGCTGCTAAGAGCACGAGGCTGCTCATGCAGAGGACCTGGAGTTCAGTTCCCAGCACTTACAAGAAGCGGCTCATAACCACGTGCAATTCCAGCTCCGGGGGACCTGACTCCTTCTTCTGGCCTCCAGAGGTACCTGTACATATGTTCGCTGTGGAATGATCCGTCTGTACACTGTGAAGATGCGTTGCTCCCTTACCGATGGCAAGGCAGGACTTTGGGGGCAGAGAGAATGCTGGCGAGAAGAGGGGCCGAGAGTCAGGATCGGAGGAGACACCATGAAAGGCCGTGAGAGACAGAGCGAGCAGGATGGGAAGGATGTAGACGGGGTAAAGAGTCTTGGGGCAGCACATGGATTAATAGAAATGGGTTAGTGTAAGTTATAAGAGCTAGTAAAGAACAAGCCTAAGCTATCAGTCGAGCATTTATAATTAATACCAAGTCTCTGTGTGGTCATTTGGGAGCAGCTGGCGGTACCGATGAAAAACCCCATCTACATATATTCTCATACACACACACACATACACACAAATTTTTAAATTAAATATAGGAATAAGCAGAGCGCTGAGATCTTTGTTTCTTACTCTACAGACCCAGATGAAAGGACAAAGTATTGATAATTTACACCCACTGTGACTACTGAGGTTTCAATTTGCAACAGCTCCATTTGTTGTGATTTAATTCGTGATTTTAAATCTTGATAACAAGTATGAAAAGATGTATAGGGATAAATCCTTGGCCTCCTGGCCCTAAAAAGCACTCCCTGTATGTCTTTTTATACTTCTTATAGTTAAACCACGTAAGGCATTAACTATTTTAGAGTAACTAAAATACAGTCTGCATATAAAAAGCGGCTTTCCATTTTCTCCTGAAAAACTGTAAAATCTGGTATCAGAGAACTCTGGTTGTGAAGTGGCTGCCGTGAAATGTGGTGGGCAGTACCGATATCAGTCCGGTAGACCTTGAGGCTGTTGCAGTCAAACATCTCCAGTCCCTCTGGTGTCCGCAGACAGTAGACGCTCACGGGGAAGCCACACTTCAGAGTTATCAGTCTTCTCAGGTCGGACACCTTTTTATCCAGAATAGACACGTTCTCCCTCATCGGCATCATCTTCTGGGTCACAGCATTAAACACATACAGGGTAGGCTTGTCTTCTTTCTGCGGGGAGAGGAGAGGGGACACTCACTGTCTGAAGCTTGAGATAGGGACAAGGGACATTGGAGTCTGAGCACCTCCACCTCTCACGGCATGTGCAAATGGGGGAAATAAAGCTAGTTTTCTTCCGGGACTTTGTCTCACTTGCTCTCCTGAGGACACAGCATGTTCCCAGTTTGAGTGGAGGGATGAAGTCTGCAGGATTCTAGCCCTTACAGATCCAGATACGGAAGCCGAGCGCCGCCAGCGTGTGTGCGTGCGTGTGTGTATGTGTGTTTGTGTGTCTCTGTGTGTTTGCATGTGTGTGTGTGTGTGTGTGTGTGTGTGTGTGTGTGTGTGTGCACCCGCGCGCCCACGGAGGAGCCAGTGCAGAGAGCACTCCACACTATGCTGTGTTTAAGGCGGAGAGGCTGTGGATTCGGAATCTTTGTCCCTTTCCTGAGATCCACCCTGGAGGTTGGCTCCAAGCAAGAGCACGAGGGACAATTTTCTCATGGTTGTGCACTCTTCCTGTCTGTGCGGTTTGCCTTTATATAAAACACACTTATATTTACTTTTGCTGTATAAACAGGGAAATAGTAAATGCACATAGTTTTTTGTTGTTGTTGTTGTTGTTGTTGCTTGCTTGTTCCTTTTATTTTAGAGACCAGTAGGAAGGCACGTAGAACTGAGACATCCAAAGAGAAAATGGAAAGTTTGGGGGAATGTTAGTGCTGAGCAAGCCAGGGAAGGGGGTGGGGAAGACGAATACCTTCCTCCAGTCTAGAGAAGTGAAACTGGTTTCACTTCCTCTTCAGTGGCCGCAGGATTGTGACATTTTTCTGCAGTGGCTGCTGTTGGCTGGACACGCAAGTACATGACACTGCCTCAGAATGTCCCCTTCGTGGAAGCTTTCTTAGAAGCGAATACCTGGCTTCCAGGTCCTTCCTGCACCCTTCAGGCAATCCAGCCATTACCACATCTTGCAGGTAGTCACAGGACTTTGGGAGGTAGAGGCAGGAAGATCAGGAGCCCAAGACCAGCCTCATCCACATGGAAAGTTTTCTACATCACTGTCTCAGAGGACAGAAACCGAGTCAAAGCTAAATTCTTCTCTGGTTCCTCCTGGAGCCTGTTCCTGCTACAAGCTTATAGGATGTTCACTCCACCCGCCTCTTCCCAGATAGTATTGCCATAATATAATCAACAAACAGCATTGCTATAATATAATCAACAAACAGCATTGCCATAATATAATCAATAAACAATATTGCCATAATATAATCAATAAACAACATTGCCACATAAAATTGATAAATAGCATTGCCATAATATAATCAATATAAACATTTCAAAAAATTCTTGGAGGAATGATGTTACTCATGAAACACGTGCTTCCAATGTTTTGATGGGGGGCCCATTTCAGAGACTTAAATTAGTAAAGCCAATTCAGTCTCTCTTCTGTTACACACGAAACCAGGCCAACAAGCTGAGATGCTGCCGTGGCCAGTGTGCTGGGTGCTCTGAGTGTAGGTTGTAAAACTCCCACACAAGGATGTTCCTGCCGCTCTTTGGCTCCTTCAGGTGAGTGTCTGCCAAACTTATCTCTGAAATATTTATAGACAGGCAGAAACTACTGTAAAAATGTAATTGGAAGGCAGTGGGGAGGGACTGGAAAGATGGCTCAGTGGTTAAGAGCACTTGCTGCTTTTCGAGAGGACCCAAGTTCAATTCCCAGCACCCACATCAGAACGGCAGGCAGGTCACAACTGCCTGTAAATTTAGTTCTGGGGCTTTGATGCCCTCTTCTGGTCTCTGTTGGCACCCGTGTGTGTGTGTGTGTGTGTGTGTGTGTGTGTGTGTGTGTGTGTGTAGACACATATATACATACATTTTTGGAAGGGAGTAGAGAAAGAAAAATTATAATTTATACAACAGTGGTCTCTTAATTTATTTAGAGTCCCCTGATTTCTCTTTAGCTCTCTAATTTATCTTTATCAATAAACACAAACAAACAACAAATGAAAAACAAATAAACAGATAACACACAAGCAGAATGTAGAGGCTTAAGTTGATCTTAACAATTAGCTAGGTTGATCTCAACACCAAACCACTATATATCATGTTAGATAAGTGTGATTAAAAGTGTGTCAGAATATGTATTATCCTATGATTGTAAAGAAAAAGGTCTCTAGTCTGTACATACAAATAGGTAACTCTGGAGCAAGTCCTAATGAAGGTGAGTTAAAAAAAAATAGCTGGCAGCTTTAGACGGAAATCAGAAGTGACAGGGGAAAAAATGCTCTCTATGAAGCTGGATTCTTAGGTCTCCAGAAACATCTTAAAGTCTGCTTGTTTGTTTTTAACTTCTTTATTGACTCTTTGGGAGTTTCACATCATGCACCTCCCGATCCCTCCAAATCCTCCTCTCATCTCTACTACACACCCCTACATAAGGAAACAAGACAAAGCAAGCAAGCAATTGAACAAAAGCAAAAACAAAATCAAAACTAACAACAACAACAACAAAAAACCCTATTTTCCACCCAAAAGGCTGTGACCAGATGTGCTTGATAGCCTGGTGACCTTTGTGCTATCTGTGTGGCTGAGACCACACTGAATCCTCCCCAGATCCTTACAAACTTGCCAATCTACAGAACCAATCTTTCTGGAAGGTGTCACATGGAGTCAATCTAGAGAACCCATCTTTATGGGAGATATTGTTATGAATTTTACCACGAGATCTGATGTGGTGTGTCTTCAGTTTTATTGTGCATATGGGATTGAGTTATTTACTACCAGAAAAATTTCACTAAATTGTGCTGGGCTTAAATACACCTAAAATAAACTACCTAGGAACAGACTCTCAAAGTCTAAACCAACAGATTTAGCTTCTTAGCTGTGTTGAACGGAAATACCTACCCTCTTGCCTCCTGCAGTGGCAGAGTCCACAGGTACCAATTAATGGCAACTCGCTAATGAAATGCTACACTAGAAAGTATCATAAGATAAGGCATCCCTCTGTAAGATAAGACATCTATGGACCAACAGGATGGCCACGTGGGGTAAGAACACTTACCACCAACTTTGATGACCTAGTTCGATACCAGGGACCCACGGGATGGAAGGAGAAAACAGTTCCCTTGAGCTGTCTTCTGACCTCCTCATGCACATTATAGCAGGTGCATATACAAAAATACATAAATAAGCAACTTTTTAAAAAGAGATAGGGTGCCTGTGAAAGAGGCCATCTCTCTGCATCCGTACGTGATATTACTCCCCAAGCATTCTGAATTAAGACAGGTTGTTCAGTTATATACAAGTATGTCAGATGCTGTTAGAGAAACAACACCATAAATAACTCATAGTTAGGCACACAGATTAAATTTTTTCCTTTGGAAATAAAAATATAAACAAACCAATATACCATGTTAGAGGTCAAACTCAAAATAGTCTACTCTTCAGTACAAATAAATGTAGCCTATTTCAAGAGCACAATTCCTTTTTTTGTTCAAAAAGTAGATGCAAATCCACTGAAAATAATGAGAAGGAAAGGTTTTTATTAAAAAGGACAATGCAAATTGAGGTTGATGTAAATCTGAATTCTGCTAAAATTCTGCCTCAAAAATTTGCAGACACCAAATTAACAGAAATCGACCCCACCTGTTCCAGACTGAACAAAAAGGGAAGTAATATCTAGTTTTATTAAATGGGGTGAATCCCACTTGAGAAATCAAATGAACTTCCTCTTTTGTACAGCAGCTGTCAGGAAAAGGTGCGCTGGGAAATGGAGTTAACTAAGTTATTTCTGTAACTTTGTTATGGCCCATGTCCATGACACATGGGCTACCAAAAGAGAAGAGTAAACAAAACCACAAAACCTTTGATCTACAAACTGCTCTGCCTGCAAAATATGCTAGGTCATGGTGGCATAAACCCACAAACCTCGTGGGAGTAGCCAAGCGATGTCTGATTTGACTTAAGGTCCACTCTATGAGAAAGAACTTGACACTGCTTGGGTGGCCAAGAACTAGAGTCTAGATAGCTCAGAAATCTAGGGTAAAGCCAAATACTGTTGTGCGATAATCTCTTTGTATACAGTGAAGATTTGTCACTCAGATTGGTTTAATAAAAAGCTAACCAATAGCTAGGCAGGATTTTCAGGGCAGAGAGGATGCTGGGAAGAAGGGAAGAGATGCAGAGAGTAGCCAGTCAGAGATGGGGGATGTAGGAAAACAACATGGACAGTACAGAGTAAAAGTAATAAAACCATGAGGCAAAAAGTAAATTAATAGAAATGGGTTCATTTAAGCTGTAAGAGCTGGTTAGAAACAAACCTAAGCTATTGGCCAGCTTTTATAATTAATAATAAGTCTCCATGTCATTAATGAAGAGCCAGCAGCATTACTGATGAAAAGTTCTGACTACAAAATACTTCTGTCCTAAAAAGAAAAAAGTAACAATAAAATGATTCCTAATGATATTCCACAATACTCATAGATCAGTGCCTTATTCAACCATCGTCAGAGACGCTTTCTCTTGTAGCAGATGGAAATAATTACAGATCTACAGGCAGACTTTATGCAAGCTAGGGGAGGGGAGACCTTGGAACATATAGCTCTAAATGAGGTGTCACCATCAAATCCCTCCCCTCAGAGCTCAGGGAACCCTGCAGAAGGGGATACAGAGGAGTGGGAGAGACAGAGATGACAGAGAACACAAGAATAACAAGGCCCTCTAAAACGTCTGAGCAAAGCTTATATGAACTCAGAGACTGATCGGAATCACTGGGCCTCCATGGGTCTTCACCAGGTCCTCTGACTATAGCTTTCAGTTTAGTATTTTTATGGGACTTCTGAGTGGGTAAATGAAAGGGATCTCTGACTCTTGCACCTTCTCTCGATGCTCTTTTAATTTACTACGGGCTTGTTTTGTCCAATTTTAACATGATGCGTTTTGTTTTATCTTATTGTATTTTGTTAAAAAAATAAAAAAAGAATTTGAAACCAAAGGAAACAGTAGACATTGGGATTGTCCTATGATAGCAATTCTGATGCATCCCTGTCCTGGTCACAAGGCTGCCAGCACACCTAGTGCCTGCCGTAAGACCTAAGTGATGGCCGTACAGATACACTCAGCTGTTGAGAACACTTGCTGCTCTTGCAGAGAACCTGAGATTAGTTCCCAACACCCACATGGCAGCTCTCAACCCCCTAGAACTGCAGCACCAAGGGTCTGATGTCTTCTTTTCTTCAGCCCCTCCCATATGTGTGTGTGTGCATGAAAATATTAAAAAACAAAAAAATATTTGAAGCTAGTGTTAGCAACTCAGAACTAGCTCTCTGGCCCTGTTTAGATGCCATTTCTGGTTATGTAACTGCAGATCCCTACTTTCTATTCCTTCTCAAGAGATTGTCCACTACCTGATAGCATTGGATATGTCTCTTTTCTGTTTAAGGTATCTGTGGTCTGTTTCTACTGTTTTTATAAGTATGGTGTTGGAGAAAGAGAAAAATCCAAGGATACTGGGGAGCATGTTGCCTCAAGGTTAGAGAGGGACGGGAATGCTGTGGAGAGGGAGAGAATCGGGGTCCCAAGAAGCATCACAGAGCCCTGCACTGAGGCGTGGACAGTGATCATATTATCTTTCATCCTTGACCCTTCAAGATCTTGTCTGCAGGAATAGTGGGAAATAGACTATCTTAAAAATGTATATAACAGGGGCTGGAGAAATGGATCAGTGGTTAAGAGCACTGACTGGTCTTGCAGAGGACCCGGGTTCAATTCCCAGTACCCACATGGCAGCTCACAACTGTCTGAAGATCCAGTTGCAGGAGATCTGACACCTTCACACCAATGCACATAAAATAAACCATAAAAAAATATTTTAAAAAATGTATGTAACAGTAGATCAGCTAAATGTTTACCTAAGATTTTATCACATAAGCAATTCTTCATAAACCCACACAAAAATATTTGCACAATAAAAAGCCACTACCTTGATTTTGTTTTATGACATATGTCTATGGGTACATGTTTAAAAAGAAGAATTGCTGACTTGATAAACTTTTGAACTCAGCCAGAGTTTCTGGCTTTTATCACATTCATAACTTATGCTAAAGTAAGTTAAAAAGGCTTTAGCTCTCCTGGATTCCCAGAACCGACTTGCACACAGCAATAGAAGTAAGTGTCACAGAACAAGGACTTTACTTGAATTTGTATATATTTAGTTATGCAGTAAAGTAATAACGTGTTTGGAAAGCAGCCTTTGGTTGCCTTAGATCAAATGTATGTTGGGATCTTTTTCAGTGGAGATTTTTTTTTTATTATTGTAAGTACATTTTTTGGCAGCTATTATATCCATATAGTAAACACTGTGGATCTCAGGAATAGCCTATTTAATCATCTAACCGAAATAGGAACTGACATTTAGGTGATTCTTTTTTGCTTTAGATTAAAGACACACTCTATTCCTTCTTAAAGTTTTGATAACGAACTGTAGGTGTAACTCCAATGGACAGAATGAAGAATAAAATCAGTAAAAGGCCCACAAAATGTGAGAATTTCTAATGAAACCCTATATTGATCAGCATGCTAATCTTAACCACGTTCTGTCTCAACTCTCTCAAATAAGCTATTTTGCCACTATTAGTCTATTCCTTGCATTGTAATTTTGAACCCCATAAAAATATTAGGGTTCAGTGTAGAGTTTGCAGCATTCGCATGGGTGTTGATGCATTGGCAGTACTTGTGAGATGTTTTTGTCAGCATGACTGATAATATAGACTGTTCTTCGGAATGGAAGCCAGAGCCAGAGCTGGGAGACTTTACTATACATTTTCTTTTGTATCTTTTGAATTGAGAATTATGGAAATATATTCCCTAGTTGAAAATAGATAAAAATTTAAGTTTTTAATAATAAAGACCAAGGCAGTCCTTAGTTAAATAAAAAACACTCCTAATACATTCTATATGTTCAGCTATTAAATCCCCCTTGCCAGCTCAAATGTTAGAATTGAACTGTCTCTAAGCAAGCAAACAGTTAAAACAAAACAAAACAAAACAAGCCCAAAACTTGGGGCTAGAGAGGGCTTGGTGGTTCGGGTCTTCCAGGGGACCCATGTTTGAATTTTGAGTTTCAGTATCCAAATGAAAGTTCAAAACCATCTCTAAATCCATTTCCATGGGATCTGACAGTCTCTTCTGGCCTCCACAGGCACCTGGGACACATGTGATGCACAGAAATCATTCTGGAAAAATGCCTATGCACATAGGACAATAAATAAATAAAAATCTGGGCCCTTATCGTCACTAGACAGTACGTGGAGATTGTAGGGAGGTGATCTGTGTAGCTGTGCAGTGCCTGAACATGGTATAGGAACCCACGTGGAATCATAAGGAGAAGCTATCTAAGAAATGGCGAAGAAGCAGGATCTAGCGCGCACACTTGTAACCCTAACATCTTGATTCAACAGTCTGAGGCCAGCCTGGGATACATAGCAAGACCCTGTCAAAAAAAGAAAAGAAATATAATTTGGTTTGCTTTAAAAGTATTTTTTGGGTATTAGAGAGAGAAAATTGGAGACTTCACAGTCATTTTAATTTCACTTTTTGGTAGTTAGACACTCTTTAAAATATAAGGAAAATGTAAATAATAAATGCTCAGAAAACATCAAAATTATATAAATAGAGTAATGCAATCTTTAGCATTTTGTGACATGTCTTTAGTACTTAAAAAAGAAGAGTATCTTTTAAAACATCTTAGTTAATTGTGTAAGCATATTAAGAATTAATTTTGAGCTGGGCAGTGGTGGCACATGCCTTTAATCCCAGCACTCGGGAGGCAGAGGCAGGTGGATCTCTGTGAGCGCAAGGCCAGCCTGATCTACAATAGCTTGTTCCAGAACAAGCTCCAAATAAACAGAGAAACCCTGTCACGAAAAAACCAAAAAAAAAAAAAAAAGAATTAATTTTGAACATCATAAAATTTTTTACTGCTAAGTATGAGAAGATAAGTGTCACATTTTAAGGGGATGAGAACTCACACTTTCAGGGGTTGGAAATGAGTGTAAGATTCTGGTCCTACCCCCACATAAACAACAGCTCTTAATTGGGTCACTTGCCCCATTAAAAACTAATTTCAAATTAGAGATATTGAGTCCAGGAAATCCCAAAGTACATGGTTTTGTATATTTTAGAGCTAGGATTCTGTAAAGTTCTTAATGAAAGCTGAGCCCAGGATCCCCAGTTATGTGCCATTAAATAAGGGCACCCTAAAAATGGAAGAGACATTTTTCTCCTGCACATACACCTAGTTCTGATGGGTACTTTTGTCTGTACTTAGATATAGACACTGTCTTAGGGTTTCTATTGCGATAAAACACAGTGGCCAAGAGCAACTTGGGGTGGAAAGAGTTTGTTTCAGCGTATACATCCACATCTCAGTCCATCACTGAAGGATGTCAGGGCAGGAACTGAAGCAAGGCAGGAACCTGGAGGCAGGAGCTGATGCAGTGGCTATGGAAGAACACTGTTTACTGACTTGCTCCCCAGGGATTTCTCTAGTCCAAGTGTGGCACCACCCCCGTGGGATGGATTCTCCCACATCAATCGTCAATCAAGAACACATCCCATAGGCTTACCCACAGGCTAGTCTGGTAGGGATGTTTTCCCAATTTAGACTTCCTCTTTCCAGATAATTCTAGCTAGTGTCAAGTTGACATAAAACTAGCCAGCGCATTCTTTCTGCTACTGAAAAATTTCTCACTGTCCCCAATTCTTATGACCAGGGAAGTGACCTTATCTGTTTCACTGTACAGACATATCAGAGCCGTCCATTAGACCTAATCTGTTTCACTGTACAGATATATCAGAGCCATCCATTAGACTCTGATCTACAGCGAGTCCTGCATGGTGTGATGGGGCAGATGGCAAAGAGATGAGGTGAGAAAGAGAGATGAAACAGACAGGGGACAGAGGGAATGCCGTGTCTGCATCTTCCTACCCTTAGTAGGCATGAAGCACGCAGAAGAACATAAGTACCAAGGGAAACGAGGAGAATGTAAGACAAGAAGGGCGGGGGAGATGGGTCAGTGTTAAGAGTGTATACCACTCCTGCAGAGGACTTAAGTTTGGTTCTCAGAGCTCATGCCTGGCAGCTCACAACTGTCTATAACTCTAGCTCTGGGGCAACCCAGTGGCTCTGGCCTCCTGTGACACCTGCACTCATGTGCACACATACACATAAATACAATCAAATCTTTAGGGGGCTGGAAAGATGGCTCAGGGGTCCATAGAAGGTACTGCTCTTACAGACGGCCTGAGTTTGGTCCCCTGTAACTCTAACACCAGGGTATCCCACAGCCTTTTCAGGCTTCCTCAAGCACCAGTCGTGCACTCAAACACATTAAAAAAAAAATCTAAATTCTAAAAAAAAAAAAATCTTTAAAAAATGTAAAGAAAATAAAGCAATTTTTATTTTTATTCTTTCTGGTAGGATCTTGTTATATAGCCCAAACTGCCCTCAATGATGATCCTCCTGCCTCTGCCTCAGAAGCACTGGGAGAATAGGTGTGCATCAGCCACACCAGCCTATGCAAAGCTTTTTCCAAATCGTGAAATTACTTAGTTGAGCTATCCACAACTTACCTCCCAAAGCAAGAGACATCTTGAGCAAACGTTACTCTATCGTACCTTAATGAAGCATCTGAGAGTCGCGCAGAAAGAGATCCCGACATCCGACAGCCTCCAGCTGTTCCTTAGGGCAGCTCCGGCGTACATCAGCTCTAAATACCACCTGCCTTGTTGGTCTTCAGAAAGAGGAATGTGGAAATAATCCTTAAAGGGCAACAACCGCTTATGAAAACAGCCCGTCTCTTTATTAGCAGACCAAGAATACAGTGCTCCCTCCCTTATTTCCTTCCCTTCTTCCTTCTCGCCCTTCTCCTTCCTCTCTCCTCCCCTCCGTTCCCAATGGCATTATGATTGTTTTAGAAGAAAGGGAAGGGAGATTAGATAGGGTTCTTGACTTGGGCCCTATTGCTCCCCAAAAGCTTATAAATAAGATTTTAGTTGGGGAAAAAAAACCCCTGAAACTTCATTTTAAATTTTTTATTACTTCTATTTTATGTGTGTGTGTGTGTGTGTGTGTGTGTGTGTGTGTGTGTGTGTGTGT